GTTAATGCACTATGAATGAACCATTATACACTCACCGAACACTTTATTTGGAACACCCAGCTAGTACCGTGTTGGACTACCCTTTTCCTTCAAAACTGCCTTAATTCTTAATACAAAAAAAGTCTGCACATCCTAAACCCAAATTTTGCTCAGGTGCAGGACAAGAAAATAACAGTAAATAAATAACATGGTAGCGTCACAGAGTTGCTAGATTTGTTGTTTGGCTGCACATCCATGATTTGAATTTCCCATTTTACCACACTACAACTGGTGTTCTATTGGATTGAGATCTGGTGACTGTAGACCATTAGAGTACAGTTAACTCATTGTCAAGTTCTAGAAACCAGTTTGAGATGATTGGAGTTTTGTGACATGATACGCTGAAGTAGCCATCAGAAAATACACTGTGGACATAAAGGAATGGACCTGGTCAGCAGCAATACTCAGGTTGGGAGTGGTGTTTAAATGATACTCATTAGTTAGTAAGGGGCCCAAAGTGTGCCAAGAAAATATCCTGCACACAATTACACCACCACCACTAGCCTGAACCATTAATACAAGGCAGGATCCATGTTCTCATGTAGTTTATGAGCTCACAAAGTCCTGGAATGCCCCTCTCTCGGCCCGTAACCGCTCTGATGTGTCCGCTTCGCTGCGCTCAGTGGACGGAGCCGCCGCGAAGGGTTATGCTGCCATGCCGCCCGTCGAGGACTCGGTCGCCGCTCATCTTTGCCCACCCTCTGCTAGATGGCGTTCCTCCCCTACGCTTCCTTCAAAAGCGTGCAGAGCGACCTCCAACTTCCATGCCCGCGCCTATGCCGCCGCCGGACAGGCCGCTGCAGCGCTGCATTCGATGTCAGTCCTCCAGGTGCTCCAGAGCGACATCTTGTGCGAAATGGCGAGCAGCGGTAGGAACCCGCCCATCCTCTCGGATCTGAGAAGCGCTACGGACCTTTCCCTTCGCGCCACTAAAGCCGCCGCACAAGCCCTGGGAAAATGCATGGCCGCCCTCTGTGTCGCTGAGAGACACTTGTGGCTCACGCTTACCGACATGGGAGATTCAGAACGCGCCGTGTTCCTCAACGCGCCTATCTCTCCGACCGGGCTCTTCGGATCTGCCGTCACGGGCATCGTTGACCGCTTCTCCGAGGTACAGAAAGCGACTCAGGCCATGAACTTGTTCCTGCCCCGCCGCGCTAGCTCTTCTGCTGGCCGCTCTCATGAGCCACCTGCCAGAACTCCACAGCAGCGCCCGCCTCAGCAGGCTCAGCAGCCCCAGCGTAGACAGGGCGGCCGCCCTCGCTCTCGCTCTGACAGCCGCCGCAGACAGCCTCCTCCCCGGGGGCCTCGACCAGAAAAGAACGCTCACTGCCCAATATTCTTTTCAAAGAGCGAGGACGCGCTAGCCCAGGATTGGCCCCGCCGCCCGCTCTATGCTTTTCCCCCGATTTCTCTGCTACCGCAGGTCATTCAGAGAATCAGGGACTCACGCCACTCGGTGCTCCTCATAGCCCCGCGCTGGGAGAATCAGATTTGGTTCCCGGAGCTAACGCGGCTGTCACAGACAGCCCCGTGGCCCATTCCAATCAGAGCAGATCTCCTCACTCAAGCCCGCGGCTCGATCTGGCATCCCCATCCACAGCGCTGGGCGCTTCATGCATGGGTTACCAATGACTACGCGTCGAATTGCCAGAAGGGGTTCTGAACACGATCAAACACGCCAGAGCGGATTCTACCAGAAAGCTCTATGCTGCAAAATGGCATGTGTTCTCCAAATGGTGCACCGACAAAAATTTGGACCCACGGACGTGCGAGGTTTCGTCTTTGCTCGTGTTCCTTCAGGAGATGCTGGATAAGGGCAGGTCCCCATCCACTCTTAAGGTTTACGTGGCAGCCGTCGCGGCGTTCGTTGAACCCCGGCGCGCCCAGTCTCTGGGCAAAGACGAGCTAATCATCCGCTTCCTCAGGGGAGCCAGAAGGATGAACCCCCCTCGCCCCCCTACGGTGCCGGTCTGGGATCTTTCTATAGTTCTAGAAGCTCTGAAAGCCCCACCGTTTGAACCACTTGAGTCCGTGGAGCTTAAATACCTCTCGTTAAAAACCGTTCTTCTGACGGCACTCGCCTCAGTAAAACGTGTGGGGGACATTCACGCGCTGTCTTCGAGCGCCGCGTGCCTGGAGTTTGGACCGAATGACTCCATAGTCATTCTAAAACCCAGACACGGTTATGTTCCAAAAGCGATTGGTACCCCTTTCAGGGCGCAAGTGATCTCTCTCTCGGCGCTGCCTGCATCCGATAGCGAACGTGACGCTGACCGCCTCTGCCCGGTTTGGGCTCTCAGAGTGTACACTACACGCGTTGCCGCGTTCAGACGCTCAGAGCAGCTGTTTGTGTCGTTCGGTGGCCGCACCAAGGGACTAGCCGCCTCGAAACAGACCCTATCCAGGTAGATAGTAGACGCGATTGCCTCTGCTTATGCCGCTAAAGACCTGCCTTGCCCTCTGGGCATCAGGGCTCATTCCACCAGAGGCATGGCCTCATCGTGGGCATGGTCCTGCGGGATTTCCATTCACGACATTTGTGTGGCTGCGGGATGGGCCTCCCCCTCCACTTTTGTCAGATTTTATAACTTGGAAGTTCCAGCCTTACAGGCTAAAATTCTGGCGGTCTAGTACTCACAGCTCTCCTATAGAAGCCGCACTATCGGGAGTTCCATCACAACCGGCTCACCCCTTGTGTTCCCCTATGTGCTTATGCATTACACATCACGGCCCGCTTCGCCGGCCGCCTTTGGGCGTTTTGCACTAGATGATAACGGCCGCTATGCTGGCCGCCTTATTATCTTCATCCACTTAAAGATTCCCCCTGTGTTTTTCCCCCTGGGATGCTTAGTGGTTATTTAGCGCGCACGGCGTTGACCAGGTGTTCCCGTAGCATAAGCTAGCTTACGCAATACGAGAGAACCTCTCGTAAGAGAACGAATTGTTACCTAACGTAACCTCGGTTCTCTCTAGATGAGGGAACGAGTATTGCGTTCCCGGCCGTGCTTGCGCCACTAGCGTTTCGCTTCATGCTACAGAATCGACGAACTAGCTGGGAGAGCGACCTTTATACACTGTAGCCACGCCCCTTTTGGCGGGCTGTGACGCAGTGAGCGAGCGCCGTCCGCTCATTGGGCGCGAACTCAGCGCCGCTCTCCCATAGGTTTGTGCATTCTCTCTGAGCGAACCAATGAGCCGCTAGCTAGCCCGCTCATGGTCTGCCTCAGAAGAGACTGCGTTGACAATGATTACAAAATTATGGAATAATTTTTTGGCTTCAACTTCTCAGCAAAGATGAATCTTTCCCGTAGCGTAAGCTAGCTTACGCAATACTCGTTCCCTCATCTAGAGAGAACCGAGGTTACGTTAGGTAACCGATTCGTTTGTATGCGTACTGGACCGGAAGCCTCGAACCGAAATAATTCAATGTGGATACATGTACCGTTACACCCCTAATATAAACTACACACGATTAGACCCACTTATGATATTTCTGTATTTCTTAAGATACGGTAAAACAGTTGTGTAAAACTGTGCTGTTTTGTAAGTGTATTTCCTCTGTGTCATGTTTTCTAAACGTTATCATGCTGACAATGGCTCTCTATGCTCGTGTTTGATTGACAGGAATTGTTTTGTCCTGCTGATGCATCATTCTGTTGACCGGAGATGTAAGAATCAGGAGTCCAGATGGTAGTACAAGTGAGATTGGGCCATTCAGTTCCATCAATATATCAAGAGCTTCCTTTATGAATAAAGCCAATGATTAGATGCTAAGAGGATTGGCTGCCCATGATTGTTATGTAGGACAAGCAACCGCTTTTCAGGGTAAAAAAAAATGAGTGTAAGATTAAGGAGAGAAAGAAACAGTGCAGCTATTGGGGCTGTTTAGACTGTGATTGAAAAGATTATCTTCTAGCACTTTTTATTGTCACCCAAAACCCCGTTCTCTTAGAACACCCCTTGATTTAGGCAAACAATTAAACCTATTACATTGATTTATTTATAAATCCAACTAGCAACTTTCTGCCCTTATAACGCTTATTATTTTATGTTTTTGTTTTAATTGCCTAATATATGGTGAAAAAACTGAGCAGATTGTGAAATACTCAGATTGGCCCATCTGACACCAGCAACCATGCCACGCTCAAAATTGCTTAAATCGCCTTTCTTTCCCATTCTGACATTCAGTTTGGAGTTCAGGAGATTGTCTAGACCAGGACCACACCCCTAAATACATTGAAGTAACTGCCATAATATTGGTTAATTATATATTTGCATTAATAAGAAAGTGAACAGGTGTAATAATACTTTAGGTGAATGTATACAACATGTAATTTAAATACAATTATTTAGTAAACAAGTTAATGTAATATTTTAAACAGTATTGTTGGTTACTCTGAAAAGATTTCTGTAAGTGAAGCAAAATACACAAACCAAGCCACAGAAGAACATACTGTTTTAAAAAAAAAAAAAAAAAAAAAACAGTCTTGAATGAACAAATCAGATGAACGAATGATTCAATGACTCACTCATTTTGAAAGAATTGGTTGAATTAATGAATCAATGACTTACTTATAATGTTGGTCACTTATAACATCGAGTAAGTCACCAACAGGCATTATGATGTAAAAGACATGATGAAAAAAAAAAAAAATGCCCAAAAACAGACAAGCAGAATGATACAAACAATGATTTTCACATATGCACAATTTACATTAAATTAGACGATATCAAAAATACTTCTAACTAAACCGTCTTTTCTAATCAGGCCGAATTCAATCCGACTGGTTTATTTCACTCAGTGCTAACTGTTAGTGGAATCATACAAAAGTATCCCATTGATTGGTCTTTCTGTATGTGTGGCTACTTTTCAAAGAAGCTCTGTTTGAGTGAGTTATTATTATTTTTTTTTTACTCTTTCATTCTACATCTAAACACGCCTTAATGCGTCTTTGCAGAGCTGTGGAGAAGGCAGTCCATGCTACAGGTATTGATCGAGAAAGATGCAGGACAGAAGAGATGTTCTCGTGGGGCTGTTTTAATGGAAACACATTGTGATGAATCACAAGCTTCCATCTTATGATTGATAATGTTGTTTAACAAGTCACTCTCCCCAGATAGTGCCTAGGATTAATGAAGGATTGCACATCCTTTCTCCTCAGAAAGGGGGGGGGGAAAAACTAGCAGAAATGTGTGTTATTGACATCAACAGGTTAAAGGGAAATCAAGAGAGCATGGAAAGATGGCATAAATGATAGCACAATGTGTTGTGTGTGTGTGTGTGGTTTGAGATGTTTTTCTTATTTAGACATTTGCAGATTTCTTTCATCAAATGGATTTGAGGTCTGATTCATTTGGGAGCAGATGATAGTAAGGACATGAAAATGTATTTCTAAGTTGAAGCATGTTGTGCATAATAAAACTGATAATACAGATTTAACTGTAAAGGTCAAGTCTTATAGCGTTCTCTGCAGATTAAAGCTTCTTGATAATGTTGCAAATAACTCTCATTATAACTTTATGTTGTATGTTATTTTGTTTTATTATGGACCAACGTCTGTTTATAAACCAGCACAAGGTTAGTAACTTAGGCCTAGTTAATTAATCTTATTGTTATGGTGGCTGACAAGCCCAAAAACAAATATTGCAGATAAGTTCAGGAGTTATTTGGCACACTTTACAATAATGCAATGTATTAACATGAATTAACGGAGTAATTTTTCTTACAGTATTTATTAATCTTTGTTGATGCTAGTTAATAAAAATAAGCTGATAGTTTACTGTATATTAACAAATACCATTTTGGTTTATGAATATGTACTAGTATGTTGAAATGAACATGAACAGAGATTAATAATTGTGGTAGACATTGTTCATTCTTACTTCATGACATGTTAACTAATGTAGTTAACTAATGAAAACCACATTGTAAAGTTGTATTAGTTTTATTTATTTTTAACATGAGTACTATTCAGTTTTCTAACGTATGTCAAATGAGACTTATAATTATTAAGAATGAAATTATTAAAAATGTATATTGTTAGATATATTTACCAACACATAATCTGTAATATAGATTATATTGCCTTTTCAATAGTAAAACTGTATTAAACAATTGTTTTGGGGAACGTACAATTTAGACGTACCTAATGATTCAGGAAACCTGAGACAATATTATATTATAATAAACTACATATATATCTTGTTTACTAATTTAGGTAATTGTTTAAACTCACCATTGTGTACTACACATACTGTTTTGTCTAATAAGTCACTTTGGATAATAGCGTCGACTAAATGTCTAAATGTAATTTGTCTATCAGCAAGTAATACTTCAAATGTTTCATATCAGTTGAAACTGAGGCTGTTATGAAATGTCAGGTTATCCTAAAATTTGTCATTGTTGTTGACATTTAGAGGAGTTTTTTTTTTTTTTTTTGAGTGATGTTGTCGATTGTTGAAGAAGAACACAATGGATGTGAAGAACATTTCAGAGACCTAATACAGCTCAGTTTATAATTCCCACAGAGACTCATTATAAAGCCAAGACTGAGGGAAGTGATTAATTCAGAGGGTTTTGATATTAGTTTTTGAGGGGGCATGCGGTCTATTGGAGCGTGAAAGCAAGATCTGTGAGTGGAGGATGGAAGGGAAAGGACTGAGGTGACAGGGTAGACCACTGTTTTAAGTTACCTCTACAGTCACCACTGAACTACAAAGTGAATCCATACTGCTCTGAATTCATGCCATCCTTCTTATCTTCAAGCCATCTCTGAAACGGAAGGCTGCCTCAGAAAAGAATACTAGCTCTTTATTCTTTATTCTGACTCTTTCTTCCTCTCTAGAATTTTAGGAATGTGTGTTGGTGGTTCCAACATCTTTTACAGTAGTTGTCCTACAGACCAATTTCGAGCCAACGTCACAATCAGGGTGACCACCATCAAACAAACCAAATGTGGGACAATTATAAGTTTGTGTGGGACAATGTGGGACATGTTACCAACACTAAAACATACCCTGAAACGGTTATATAATGTCTTTCTAACTTAAAAAAACATAAAAACATAAATACAGATAGATAAACATTTATATTCTGCCTTTCAGCAGATAAAAATTAGTTCTTCTTTTGTCCCTTCCAGAAAAAAATATTTATTTTACATGTCATTTAATTTCAACATCACAGAGCCCAAAGGCAGCAGGTGTCATGCAGATAACTATTAGAAACAGTTCTGACCAAGTCCAACTAAAATCCAACAACATAAACAATGAATACAGATTGACAGTCTTATAAGAGTATATTAAAAAACCCCAAAAAAAGTTTTTAGAAAAGATGTGAATTAAAACAACCACAGCAGGCAACAGGTTAAACAACAACAGATAATTTCCGTTAAATTAAAATGTTAATTTACCGAATTATCCATTTGTTTTCTGACAGGGAATATATGGAATGAATCACCGGTACACATTTTGATTGACAGCCGTCACAACCTACTAGTGACCGTGTTTACTCATTTTTTTTCAACCATTGGATAGGATATAAAACATGGCTGTTGTTTTTGTACTTATGACAAGCTCTGTTAAATATAGGTGAAAAACTATGCTGCAAAAATGATACGTAAAATGCTTTCGCAAAATAATCCATGCACGTTTTCTTAATGTAATTAAAAACCAATAGACTGATGAAAATGCGGGACATTTCCTCAATATGTGACCTGTGGGACAAGGGGTGAAAATGCTGTGCGGTACAACGCAAAACGGGACGGGTGGTCACCCTAGTCACAATTACATCATGCCGCTAACTGGAGGCAAAACAAAGGGAAAACTGGAGGCGGCAAATACAAACCTGCACATATTCGGCTACGTAATGAGCTTAAATTATTATTATTATTATTATTATTATTATTATTATTATTATTAAATGTCATCTTGTGTTGTTGTGTGCAAGAATCGATGAAAAATGAATATATTGTATCTGGAATTTTTATTTCTAGAAAATAATCACATCATTAAAATTGCACCGTAATGTCACTCTTTACGCTGTCGTTGTTTTGGCGCTGGCTAGGCAGAACGGCGGATCGTACCACACAAGTCTTCTACATGACCATTCAGCACATAGTTATAGGCATCTAATGATTTATGGGCCAGTCTACAGAATTGGTGCAAACTGCACTTCAAAACCCTATGTATAGAATAAAATGTATAAAATATATGTACAGACTGCATATGAAGAGTTGAAATTTTCTTCTAAAATTTTCATTTTTTATCAAGCTTATATATCCAAGTTCAGTAATTTCACTTAAATTACAATTAATAGGTAATCCTCATTGCAATTTAAGTGAAATTACTGAACTTAAATATACAAGCTTGATAAAAATTATCATTCTAGAAGAAAATTTCAAATGGCACTTAGAGGCTTTTGCATCTGAACTCTTCATATGTGCATCATAGTTATTCATATTAACATAAAATATGGACAGTCTGATTCAGCCATTGCAAACTAAGTATTGTGGTCACTACCAAAACCTTACTGTCACTACCAAAAATGTGCAGTCACTACCGTAACATGGGATGTTTTGTCAAATATAGTATATTGAATGATCAACTAATGAATCCTTTGAAATCAGTCACGATAAACTTTATGCTTTCTACAAAGAATGATTGGGTTCAAAATACAACAAATCTCAAAGCTCTGTTTCTCTATCTCTGCCAGATCATCCATCCATTGACAGCGTGTACAGTATGGGTCAGCCAATCTGGTTCCGTCTGTTAAAATTAACTTTTGAAAATAACAATAGTGGTCCTGGACAGTGAGTGACCTTGCACATTAAGATTAAATTGGATTTTCTATAGGCATTGTTAAAAAACAAGCTAACAAAACTTGAAAACTAACGTTAGGGAAGTGGCCAGAGGGATCGTTTTGCCACCACCTAAGCTCCGCCCCACAAAAACTTGTCACCACCATGTTTACCAACTGAAAAGGGGTCTATAGGTTCAGTTCTCTTCTTAAAGGTGCCATCTGTAAAAATTGAGGTTAAAATATCCCAAAAATGAGCAACACGCATCATAAGATTGAGAAGAAATAAGGTTGATGATGTCATTAAAAAACTGACAAGTAATAGTGCTGCCGAGATATTAACCTGAATTAGCATGCTAAATTACTAGCCCCGGCCCGGCAGGTGTCGTAATACCAGTTTCGACCATGGGAGGCGGTATGCGGGCGGGCAACGTTACCACCAGCCAAACTGCAGTACACGAGTAAGTCGCGCTCGCGCCAGCTTGTGTGTACTTGAACCTGACGTCAGTCGTGTGGAAAATACAGCCCACTACTACATTTCAGTTCAGGGAAGAGTTAAAAAAAAATGATTGGTCGATATTATGCATGAGGAATACATTTTGGTAAGTTGTAGCATACTGTATCTTTCAACAGTGTTCGTGTTCTTTTACCATTAGCTAGTAGAGATGATCGGTTCACGTGTGCTAGGGATCTGTCGTGTAAAGCGCCAATACTGTATTTATTGTTTGAATTGCGTAATAAAATGAACAGAATCTGAGAGCTGGCATCGGTCTCCGTGTCCTTTTCTGTGCATGACAAAAATGTGTGGCGTGAAAGTGTGTGAAAAGTGTTGTGAGAGTTGGCAGCTCTGAAAGACGCTAGCTTGGTCCACATCAGGGAATTGCTGTCTGTCAAATTAATTCAAACTAATGATAAAAATGTAATATGAACAAATCGAATATCATAAAACTAGAAATAATAGCCTGGGCTTTAATTTTCCCATATCGTCGAAATGCACCGACTTGTCTATGAGACGGCCCTTATAATTTAGTATTGAGATGTTGTTCATTAAGTCTCTAATCTCTGAAAATCTCCAAATGCTCCACGTGAAACTGCGGTCTTCCAACCTTTTACTATCGCGTCAATTGATTTGATGAATATGCACGAGGGAGACAGAGCAACACAGCACTCGCCCATATTGTTTGAAGACATGAGAGAGCGCGTGGCCGTGGAGGTATTTCTGGAGGTATACTGCCCCCATCTGGTATGGAACATGTTGTATGATTTGATTTTAAATCCCATTTGGCACCTTTAAGAAAAAATCTCTTTTTAATGTGCTGTTAACACAGAGCTCCTCAAAAGTAGGTCCCGTTACTTAAATAGTAACAAGGATTATTTTGGGGGTTCTGGGTGGAAAACTAGTTGTTGTAGTCCAAAAAATACTTTGTCATTTTCAACGAACTGAA